GGGGGGGGGCAGAGAGGTGTGTCGGGTCCCCCCAGGGCACCGGGGTTTGCCGTGGGAGTTCTTGCTTCTCCCCGGCCCCTCCTTCCCCCAGGCTCCTGGTAGAGGACGGCACTGCCGAGGCTTTGGTCACCTGTAAGAATCATCACGTGGCAACGGCTCTAGGGCTCCGTCCCAGTGAGTGGACGTCCCTCCTGGAGTGTGTCCGTGGGCCGGGGAAGGTGGCCTTGCAATTTACAGGTCCTGGAGCCCAGGTGGAGGTGAGACGTGGCTGGGAGGCGGGAGGGCTGGATACCCAGATTCCCAAGGGTTTGGTAGAACGTTCAAGAATTTGGGAAAAAAAAATTTTTCTGGGGAAAAAAAAAGTAAAAAATTGAATTGTGCTTAATCCTGAGTCTGCCTTTCTAGTCTTCAGCCAAGATTGATGAGCCTTTGGTCCTCTTCCTCCGGACGCTTTGTACCAGCTTTTCTGTCCTCCGTCCTGTTGTGCTTTCCTTTGAGCTTGAGAGGAAATCCTCCATGGTCACCGTGTTGGGTAAGGGAGGAGGGCTGTGTAGACAGATGGGTCCCAGGAGGAAGGGGGAAGAGCGAGCGATTGCTGGGGGCATTTCCAGAACTGGGGAGGAAGACAGCGGACAGGGACGACAGACCACACGCAGAGGACATTCACTTTCCTCTCTTCCCGTTGCAGAACCTCCTCGGCTACAGCGGTTCCAGTGTGGGGAGCTGACTCTCCTGACTCGTGTGAATCCCAGGATCCAGCTGTCCTGCCTTTCCATCCAGGAGCCCAAGCACCCCAGCTCCCTGGGAGCCTTTTCCTTGTCCTGCTAACGGGGACTTCAAGGGTGGCCTGAAAGTGCTTCCCGCGGTGTTGGAGGCCCTGAGGCCCCTGCCCATCTCCTCCCCTCGTCGTCCCCTTACCTGTTCTGTGATCGCACTGGGACCCCAGGTCCCCGAATTCACAAACCGCTGTCCTACAGTTTTCTGTTCTGGTGCCAGTCTGCCTTGAAATTGTTGAAATGGGCAAATCCTGGCACTCTTGATACTTCTTTTCTGGTAGGGGTCAAGGCATTGGCCCTGACAGGTGGCCCTGAGCACCTGGGTTCTGCCTTGGTGGGGGTATTTGTGATAGGCCCCTTGGCCTGCAATAAAGCTCTGGTGATGTATCTCACTCTCGCTCTTCTCAGGCTCCCAGGCCTCCTGACCTCCAGGCAGCCAGCCCATCATTTCAGTGCTTGTTTGTTGCTAGTGGCAAAATCGGTTTAGAGAAGAGCTTCTGGTCCAACAAAGATAACCAAAAGTCATGCCTTAAAGGGAAGAAATTGGGGAGTGGAGGGCAGGGTAGACGAGGTGGCTATGATGGTCTCAGCCAGCAAGGTTGGGCCCAGGGAGAAGTCAAGTGCACCAGCCTAGAGGGCTGGGGAGAACACGATGGGTACGGGGGAAGGGGGGTGCCAAGCACTAGCAGGACACATGAGGAAGCTGGGGTGCCTGTGTTGGGGACCCCCCCACCGCCCCGCTATCAGGGCTGAGGGTTTCTTATAGGCCAGGCAGATCATTGGTCAAAACCCTGAGACCGGCAGGAATTCTGAAGTCAGAGCCCATCGATTCAGGAGTTGGCAGGAGCAGTAAATTTGAGGGTGATGATGCATCTGGCTGGTGGTCTGGTTCTTTCTTGGGAGCTGCTCCCTACTTGGAGAGCTACAGCCTTGTCGCCTCTTAGAGGCGTTCAGAGGCGTCCTTAACTGGCCTTTAGGGGTCGCTTCCGGTTCGCATCTGGGAAACTTCGGTCGTGACGTCGTGGGTCTTCTGGTGGCATTGCCTATACTTGAGTGATGCATATGTAGAGACTTGAGGCACCCTCTGGGCGCAGCTGGCCGGTTAGCTCAGTTGGTTAGAGCGTGGTGCTAATAACGCCAAGGTCGCGGGTTCGATCCCCGTACGGGCCACAGCAGTCTTTTTATCTTTTTTTTTTTTTTTTCTTATCCCCCTTACCCATCCCTCCTCCCCTCCGCACACCTGCTGTTTTAAACCCACAAGTTTCTGCGCGGAACCGATGACTTTTGATCGCAGACGACATGGCACCCACCGCCTCTCAAATCGCTAGCACACTGCCAGGCTTGGAAGGGAGGTGCCCGGGCGGAGGGAGCCTTCCCCGGGAGGCGGTGGGGGACAGGGTCAGGTCCCGGCGGAGGAGCCCAGGGAGGCGGGGAGCGGCGGCTGCAAGTTCCCTGCTGGTGCTGTATCCGCGCTCTCGGCTCCCGAACCCCAAAGTTGCTCGGGGCCGTGTCTGCAGGGTTTGTGAACTGAGAAAGGCTAGCACGAGGACTTCCCTCAGACGGTGTAGTCGTGGCCGAGTGGTTAAGGCGATGGACTAGAAATCCAT